CACTGTTTTTCCAACCTACTGCATAGATTTTCATGACAACACAGATTTCAGTGATGGCAGATTTACGTATAGGTAAATAAAAACATTAATAAGACACTTTTTATTAGATTACATATATTAATTGTACACATTATATTTGAATTACCAGTATATTTCAAATCAACATAATCTTCATGGAAAAAATAATCTAAATAAGGCGCCAGAGCAGTAACATCATTGTAACGACCCCAACTTAAAAACTAAACTACAGTCATTATGTGGTCCTAACAGCCCACAGGTTGTTTACCAATGAGACCACTGCAATAATAACCTTTTATAGCCTCTAATGTGTCTGCCAAAGCAGCATCTCTACTGATAAGTAAATATGAGTTATATGTACGCTGCTTAAGTATCTGGATTTAATCCTACCTCTTAATAAATAATTATTTAGACCTAAAACAAGAGGAATATCATCTACAAACAAACAAATTCAAACAATTTCTAGCTCTTGTCTTACAGCGTTCTAATGTAGCTCCAGGATTATTGAAAAGAGTGGCCATCTTTCGTTGCTATCAGCAGTTCTTAATTTAACTAAATAAATACAAAAGGCTATAGAAGCGTTTGGCACTTGATGTGCTAGATTGGTCATACAGTTGAGCAAATTATAAAACTGTTCAGAGTTCATACCAAGCCAATAATGACATAAATGAGGAGACATAATTGAAATATTAGAAAAATCTAATTTGTAATTGGCTGATCATAATCATTACATTATCAAACTGTGTGCCAGTAAAATCTCTTAATTAAGATGTTAATTCATTCCATGAACCATAATTCAAATAGTGATGACAAACACATGCACCAGCTGGTATGCACAATTTATTATTATACAATAAGAGATTCCTGATGATAGATGAAATAAGTAGACATTCAGGCTCTAAACAATTTTCAAATACACAGTGACCATGAGAGTTAGCAGCATGTATGATGATGATGATACAATTTTTAGAGTCACTTGTTGAACTGCTTCTAGTCTTGGTTGTGGCAGAGGAGGTGGCACAGGTATAGAATGATTGCCACTTAATGTAGTATCTCCAAGAGTAAGGCGATTTGAGTCATGTTGTTGTTGCTTTTGTACTTGTTGAGTTGCTGATCTCCAACATGCAGCACATACATGTTCCATTCTTGAGATCTAAAATATAACATTAATAAGAAATGAATAATTAATATGGAAAATTCCTTTTTGTTTATTTTAAAATAACAGTTTGACAAGTTAACTCTTGCAAGTTATAAAAGTTAAAATATGATGTCTACAAATCAATGTAGGAATTTCTGTATTCTCTCATCATCTATTAGCTGTCTAGTGATAACAAAACAAATAAAAGAAAATCTAAATGTTACCATGATTACTATAAACATTTTAGTTCTAGATTTGTAATTATGTATGATATGCAATAATAATACACAGTAATAATAGTTTTCTCATAAGATTGTGATAGTAAATGATTCCTAACCTAAGTATCTAGAACTGTTATTACTTTTTTAAGAAGTCAAACAAAACAGTTAATATATATTTCATACAGTTAGTTGCACATGACATTAGACAAACAATATTAGCTCACCTGAGTAGGAATTATCCATGACTATAATATGTTAAGGGCTAAACTGTTCTTCTACAAAAAAATATCAAGTATCACCTCTTGGGCCCTGGAAATACAGTTTTACAATACACTGGTTTAACCAGTCAAATAGTCTAATCGTCATCGATTCCTCATTTGAAGTAGAATACATTTTTAATGTTCTTAATGCGTGAGTAGAGAACACTACAAACACACATACGGTAAATAAACTTCCTGTCGTGAATGCACTGTTTTTTTCCTGAAAACTTCTTGCCTGTCTTAACAATTCAGAAACAAAATCGTTTGATACGTTCACACGCAATCATTATCACGTCACAATTTATGTAAAAAACTCAATCAAGACAAAAATAGGAGTAACAACAAAACATTTGACAATTCCCCACTCATTTGCATTTGCAATAGGGTTATAGGGTAGGGTGATGATGATCTGACATTGAATATACGAATAATCGTTGAATTGAAAAAAAAATGATTTTGTTTAAAATCGATTTTACGCAATGAATAAATCAAATCAGATACAAATAAATCCAGATTCAATTAATTAATAAACAGCATAGAAATAAATATAATTACTAGTTACTACTTAGTTAATGATGAAATCGACAGTTAGGTGAGCGCCTTCTATAAAAAAAACGATTAATGATTTCCGCGGAATTAATCTTCTTTAACATTATTAATACGTGTCGATTTTTTAAACTTAGATTCGAATACCCCGACTACACGTTCCGTCTTACCTAAGAGCATGCCTGCACAGATTAACTAGCCTCTCTTTGTCGTCCGTCCCTCTCTAACTTAGATACTTTTATGGACGTAGAACAGGACGCGGCACAAGCCAATGTACAATTATTGTATTTTGCGTTATAAGGCCTTTAGACTACGTAGGCAAGACAAAGCGCTGGGTAAGCACGTGACTCTTTTTGTCCGACTACCTACATGCTCGACATTTTATCATTTTCATCTCTATGCTTAACACGTTACATTCAGTAGGTAGACACTACAAGGGACGTGATAGGAAAGTGTCGAATTAAGTCAAGCGACGGGTTACTGAATGCGACGTATTAAGCATAGAGACGAAATAGATAAATGACGAGTTGTCATCGCAACAGTAAAGGCAATTAAAACGTAAAATCACTAATAAACAATAATTAGTAACACGTGATTTATTTGCTTTTTGATGGTCCACTCATCGGTAACAAAAACAACAATCGATTATAATGTATAACTAATAGGCTACTATGGCATCACTATTTTTACGATAAATAAACAAACGTCAGATATCCGGCTCAAAATCAAAATATAAACAGTACTATGACTAATATTATTTCTAAAATTATTCCCTGTTCAAAATAGCCATTCTGATAGACCATCGTACGTATAAATTAAAGAAAATAATTATCATAATAATTTTATCTTGAGGCATGAGACAAAGCTGTACCAAATATGGGCATTCTCCTTTGAGCTTTGTTTTTTACCTGTGTAATTACCTATATAATCTCAATCTCCAAAAGTCGTTTGTGGAGATCGTTTAACTTTAGCTTTTTTTATGCGTGCGTTATCACAACAGTCTATTATGCAACACCAGGTAAGTTGAAACAGCTATTCGGCAATAGTTTGTCTCTTTCTGTGCCGACGAAGATTGGCATGACCTATTTTAGTATCCTTGATAAATGAAGTTCTTTGAGCCCTTCTGTCTAAAGGTTTTTTAAAGATAGAATGTCTTTTAGATTTCGGAGAAGAGATCAAATAGATGTTTAATGAACACAATGTACTTGACTTTTTTTCTTTTACAGCAATTGATGAATGTTGAGAAAGTTATACTGCTATGTCAGTCAGGGCACGATTGTCCCTGCCCCCGCTAATTATACTACTACTTCAGACAGATTTGCTCTTATTTATTTGATTTACCTTCTGATTTTTTTAAGACGTTATATAAAGTCACAATTTTATATAATTTCGGGCTGAGCAAGCGACCTTGTGGGACTCCAGATTTAGTTGTGTATAATTGTAGTATTGTACTGCTATATTTTGGAGAAAGTTATGAAAGCTGTCGAGAAATTAAATTATGTAAGTATGTAAGTACTTACTTGTCGTGAAATATTTCTCAGTTTAATTTTAGATAGACAGCTAAATTGGCGATTTTATAATAATGACCTACTTAAAATAATATTTTTAAAATTACACTTGGTTCTTAAGCAAGCTTCAATTCTGGCCCATTAACGGCGAAAATATCAAAGTTGACATCACCTTCAGAATTTATCCTTTTCGTAAGCATCTTATCTTAATTATTGTATGTCTATCAATGTTTTGCTTATATTTACTAATCTAATATATAATTTTCTTAAATTAATACATGATAGCTAAGAAATAAGTAAAAATATATTTGTACGAAAAAATTACTAGGTAAAACCCAATAAGTAGTCACCATATACACGTATTCGCCACAATTTCATCAATTTTTTTTACAACTTGGAAAATGTCAACATTTTATAGTGTTTGCCTTTTATCGCTTAACCTTATTAGTTATTAATTCTTGACAATTATTTCAGATACATCAGAAATACTATTGAGATAAAAACTATATATGATATTATTCGCTCAGCTTCTTTTAAAAATTGATAAGCAGGTCGTAGAGATTTGGTAGAGTCCCTGACTTTGTCTTTAAAATCCTTTTCAGATTATTGATCTTAGTTGTTCAGTTCTTTTATGTAAAATATGTAGATCAGAAATTTCAACAAAGTATATTAAGGTTTGTTTCAGACTTCTTTGCATTGTTGTTGAATCCGATTCAGTGTCTAGTCTTTATGATGCAATAAGATTCCAAGGAATGTTAACAATTTCAAGACGTCGTAGAAAACATTTGATAAGAATAATAATATAGTTATTCCGTGTGACTGTAAATGATTAAAAATAAAAAAGTTTTAATCAGTCACTACATAAATTAATTAATCTCATAGGATTTGTGGTCGTGTCATTGAGTTCGCATGTCACCATTGTGATATAGAGAGAGCTGATTACGGAACTGTCTGTCATGAAAATTTATTTAAATTCACACAAACAACGTCTGGGTGTGACGTTGCTATCGGTGCGCCTCTTATCACTTGGCACGCTCCCGCCGCCGTCTCGCGGCCGTCCGATCTGCCTTGGGCCTCACTCGCCTTCTTTACTAGATACATTCTATATTATCGTGATACCTTTTGAAGATTTCTAAGTGAATTTGATAAAAAACGTCGTACAGTGTCGGTGTACGTAAGCATATGAGGACCATATTATCGATTGTTCTACTTTATTACCTGGTGGTTGAAATAAACAACATAGCTAGACAGAAACGTCTGTAATTATATCACTCACTCTGTAGCGCGCTCTAGTTAGATATTTACTTACTATTTGAATCAGTGTCGTCCACAATTCTTGTAGGTTTTCCACCTATGGATGACAATGTAGAGTCGCTCGTGTCAATGAATCCAAAAACACCTCGATCGAGTCACTAGTTAATACGTCGATCACTCGATTGCATCGTAACTTGATAGCCGATCCACACTGGCACTGATAAACGTATTTTTTCCGAAGTTTAAAATATTTAAACAAAACAATCACAGAGCACTGTACGGATAATACAACACCCGTTTTACAATAATTATCTAGGTTTCATTCACTAACAAATAAAAATATGATTTTCAATGTAATAACACTATAAAAATAAATTATTTATAAAATAAGAATAACAGAAATTCCACTATCGCGTATTTTATGATAGAGTCGCTTAACTGTTTTCATATTGGCAGGAAAACGCCTGCCATCGAGCGAGTCTTGTTGTTCAATGACGCGGTCGCGGCGCGGTGTTCGCAGCCGCGCGCGTAGCGGGGAGGGCGCGGCGGGCGGGCGGTGCACCGGCTGTCCCGATGGCGGCGCACACCACCGCCCGCCCGCCGTGTACCGCTCACCAGCACATGCGAGCGATCTGTCTAGCTGCCTGTGTGTGCTCAATCGGTACTTCGATCCGGTAGGTACGACGACGAGACGATACGATATAGTGAGCGAGTGAGAACTCGGTTAGATGGTGGTGAGCGTACGACACGTGTATACGTACATATATGAGAGGGCACACACGCGAAACGAGCTCGATTGCTGCCACCATCGTCATAGTCGTCTGCGTTATAATATGTATGCGCACCTAATTGTAATAGTGAGCGATGACGCGTTTGTCGGCTCGTGAGACGAGACGGTAAGCATTGCTCAATGATCGAGTTGTAGCCATAGAGTCGTACGTAACCAGTTGGAATAAGTAGAAGCAATTCCCACAATCGTACAGTAGATAATGTTAAAACTCCTAAAATATTGAAAGGAAAACATAAAAAACGGCATATGTAAAGTGTAAAAACCCAATAGAGAGATATGTGATCAGCTCATATTCCAAACCCAATGTTCCAGTATATTTTCTTATAGATAGAGAGTCAATTTGTAGGATTTTACCAAAAAGCACACTTTTTAACATATATAAACACAACAACAAATATAAACTCAAAAGGAGCTTTCTTACATACACGAAAATGTTCACTCTCTTGGCAATAAAACTGTTGAATAAAACAGAAACATATCATACCTACATATCCACGTAAATTCATTGGTGCATCATCATTGGTGTTGGTTTCGATAGTCATCATCACCACTTCTTCATAGTCCTCATCATCAAAACTGATTGATTTGTGAGAGAATAGATTTAAACTGTAGGTAAGTTTTGTTTTTAAATACACACAAAAACTAGAAATAATCTTGCGTTGATTAGTGAGTTCCCTATTCTACACAATTAAAACTGCAAGAGTCCAAAATTAATGGGAAGAATTTGCTCAAAAACAATGACCATTTTTTTGTTTATTTAAATACTTGACTCTACCATTGTCCTATTTTTTTCTTTATTTAAACGATTGATTCTACCATTTTCACATGCTTTTGTTTATTTAAACGACTGATTTTACCATAGTTACATGTTTTTTGTTTATTTAAGCGCTTGACTCTACCATTGTTATATTTTTGTTTATTTAAACTTCTAATTCGACAACTATCACATGTTTTAGTTTATTTGATCGATTGACTCTACCATTATCACATATTTTTTGTTTTTTTAAACAAGATCATGAAATACCGGAAGGACTTTGTAATACCGATATTGTTTCGGTATTGTAATTTTTCGGTATTGAAATTCGGTATTTTCCGGAACTAGAAGATAAAAACGAGTATTTTAAAACAGAGTGTTGCAATTTATATTAATTCACATATTTCAGATAATAATATTTATTATAATTCTGCTGAGCCGTCTGTTCAAGTTGGTTTCGATAGTCATTACGAATCGTCTCGCTAGTAGGTTCGATGCATAGACATAGATCGAAACAGATACCGCAAGTGTATATAATTCACGTACTAAAAACATGTTAAAAGGGTGACCAAAGGTCCGTCCTCCTTTATGCCTTGATCACAAGTACCGAAAAACGGGCGAGACAGTAAAATGTTTCTCAGTTAAAACAGTGATAAAAGTCAAAAATTTAAATAAGAGCGCTCGGTCGAGCACTCGGTGCTATGTTTATATGTACCGAGTACGGTCGGTCAGGAGCGCTGTCTTGCTCGTTTGCTCGGTACGTGTGATCAAGGCATTTACGCTATTTTATTTTTTCGCGTAACCGTTTTTACACTGGGTGCCAATAGCAAATTTTAAAAATTTATCTTATTGTACCCAATGTAAGTTGTAAAAACTATAAAATTGAAATGGGTGACCGGGGTCCAAGCTATTCCGCCACCCAATGTTTTCTCAAATTATGACGCGTTTGATTTTCATACAAACGTCATCTACTTGAGTCTAGACATTCATGAGTGCTTGTAACAGCCTAAATAAATGATTGATAAAATAGATGATGCCTAAATAAATGATTTTGATTATGATTATAATATTGATGACTTTCAGCCTACAGAATAAGCCGGATTCCGAAAAGGTTTCAGCACCATAGACCACATCCTCCTACATGCTGCGCCAGGTTATACAAAAAGCATAAGAATATCATCATCATCATCATCATCATCAGCCTATTAATGTCCCCACTGCTGGGGCACAGGCCTTCCCTATGGATGGAATAGGGAGATTGGGCCATGACCCACCACGCGGGTCCAGTGCGGATTGGTGGGTGCTAACGACTGCAAATGCAGCTGGGACCAACGGCTTAACGTGCCTTCCGAAGCACGGAGGAGCTCGAGATAGTAAATTTTTGGTCACCCATCCAATGACCGACCACTGCGAAAGTTGCTTAACTTCAACGATCGCAGCCGAACGCGCTAGCCACCTGCGCCATCGAGCTCCTCATAAGAATATAACCTGCCAATATGTTTAACTTTTGTAGACTATAGGAAAACCTCTGATTAGGTGGAAACTAGGACAGTATTTGCTTTACAGAGGCGCCGTATAGACCTTCGCTACATTCAAGTGCTGATTTTCATCACAAACCTTCGATTTTCCGATGATATAGTCGTCATGGCAGAAACTTTGAAGGAACTCAACACAATGCTCAACATCCACAGCAGAGTCTTTCAAGAGGTGGATGAAGACTAAGACCAACCTTATATCTAAAGGGTCATGTTCCTACTGTACAGTTAATCTAAGATTATACAGAGTAATCGTTGAGAATTCTGCACGACAAATAATAATACCTAGGACAAATAGTCCAGTTTCGAAGACGCGGGAAACCAACCAAATTTTCTTCTCAGCTTCACAGTGTTCGGGAAACTTGGCGATATCTTCTCGTCCGAACTACCTTAGTGCCTAAAAAGCAAACTCTTAGATCAGTGCGTATTACCAGTGAGGTTGCTGATTTTGGACCTTATTAGAAGGCTCAGAGTCGCACAGCAAGAAATTAAAAGATGAAAAGAGTTTGGAGGGAAAGAAGGCACACGTCGGACGACCATCGACTGATGATGATGATGTTTTAGAATCAGTCACAACCAGGTTTGTCGATGCCGTAACAACCACAAAGCATTTATAGTGTCGAATTTAAGCTATGAACTTATTTTTCAAAATTGACCATTTGATTGCAACCATTTTAACACAATAAAATGCCATCTTGTTACGTATTACTGTATGATTATTCATAGCAGTGTCACTGTACCCCGCAATAATCATCAGTAAAAATTTTATTCACAAAGTCACAAAATTGTGAAGGTATTGGTAAATGAATATAATCGAAAAACATCTTTGAAAATGTAAGTATAAATAATACCGAAAAACGGTATTTGGTATTTGATGTAGAATGCTTGGAAATTTTTGAATAAAAAGTCTATAAACTCTTTGAGTTATAACAATGTACTATGTTATGTATAAAGTACACAACTGACGGCCGCACCAGAACTACAACATGTTGCATTAAAATTATTTCTTTTTTTTATTCATAGACACTTAGAAAAACCGTTAAAACAAAAAACAACATATAGATACATCTATGACACTTCTCGTCATATACACGACACGTCTGTATATATCATGACACGTCTGTATGAGCGATCATGTAAACAAGGACATCGTTAAAAGGTACCTAAGATATAAATACAAAAGTCAAAGGCACAACCTAAGAACGACTTTAAGTATTACTTTGGGTGATTGTTTGTTTTCGTGTTCGTAATTTTAGAGATAAAGGTTTCTATGGAAGATTGTTTTTGACAAATATGTATACTGATATCCTCCAGAAAAATTGCCTTCACTTTATTACGGTTATAGAAGTTGGATAAAAAAATAATATTGTAAATTTTTTTTTGCCAACAACTTGTCCACGCTGAGCCTATTTTGGGTATTATTGCATTTCCTAAAAATTTTCACAAATAACTTTTGATGGGAGATTGAAAAAAAAGTAGAATATCAAAATAAGGAGAAAATAAAATTGAATCAAACATTACAGCGTGTTTGGGATATAAAAAAAAATATTTTCTCCAAATTTCGTGAGAAACAAGTTATTTTGTGGGAGATAAAAATTTAAAATTCGGCTATTTTGATTTTTCGCAAATATTATCAGATTTTGTGAAAAGTGTAAATATATATAAAAAAATCTTTTAATTACCAACAACTTTGCCATTTAATTTTATTCGTTCTTTTTATTTGTAGTTTTCGCAAAAAGCATGACAACCCGTTTTCCCTTCGTAAACGGCCACCCTCTATCCCTTCCGACCTCAAATCGCCCGTGAATTATTTTTTCTATTTTCTAATGCTATCTTTTTCTTTTGAAATGAGTTTCATCCTATTTTGTTTTTTTTTAAAGTTTAAAGTTTTTTCCGCGCTCGCCTAACGTCTCTTGTTTTCCTAATTTTCATTAACTATAGTATATTTCTTTTTATTCATTTATTTGTATAAGACCAAATATAAAAGATAATAACATTGCAACAATAACTATTTCAGTTTCGGTTTATCTAAAAAATATCTCGTTTTATAACTGAATGTATTTTTTCTGGTTTTTATAATATTTGGTCTTACCTAAGTCTGTGTCGGATGAGCCGGCCGAATGTGCTTTTCCTTCGTATACTTTTAATTGAATTTAGTTTTTTTTTCATTATATGTTAATTTAAAGCAGTTTACTGCCAGATGTTTAAATCTAAAGAAAACTATACCAGAAAGTCTTACATTTTTTGATTTATTTTATGTCTTTGTATACGGGTAAAAGTTTTTTTTGTCTTTTGAGTTTGGACAGTTTAGGAAATAATTTTGGAGTACTATGAGAATAACCCAATTTTTATATCATCGTCATCATCAGCTTATTAATTGTGCTGGGGCACCTTCCCTATGGGTTGAATAGGGAGATTGGACCATGCAGGCGCAATGCGTATTGGTGGGTGTTGATAACAAAATTTATGGTGTTAACGACTACGGATGCAGCTGAGATTAACGGCTTAACATGCCTTACGAAGCACGGTAGCCTGGACCAACTCTGAAGCACAGAGGAGCTGAACACAGTATTTTTTTGGTAACCCTTTCAATGTGTGGCTGCTGCGAAACTTCCACGATCGCGCTAACCACTTG